GTATCACGCATGTCAGAGGCTGATGTACTGAAATACAGGTGCGGAGAGAAGACGTGGGCACTTTAATCTTCCCCGAATACGGGCGTCCTGAGACACGCGGGAAGGGCTGGGTGCACCGCTGCCGGCCTGGCTGCACTGGCTCCGTGGCCGTGACCCAGCTGGGCTTCACAGACGCCGTGGGAGGGCCCACGGTCCCCTTGAGCTGTGACTTCCGCAGAACGAATGACGGGGTGTTTCCTGTCCACTCCTGGTGTCTCGTTTTCGGCGTGGCCTCGAGAGCCCCTGCTTGAGGTGACACAGGTTTCAGGCAGCTTGACCGCCGCTGGCTGGCGGAGACCCGACTGAACGAGCGGCTGGAGCCGCAAGAGAATTCAGTCGCGGAGCGAGAGTGTTCAAATATTTTCCGAGGCCCAGAAATGGAACTTCCAGGATTACCGCTTTAAAAGTCATAACTATTTCGAAATGCACGTGGTTAGTAACCATGTGAAAAATAAAGCAGAGCATATTGTTAATAAAATGCATCTTACATGTGATCATCCATCTTTTCAAACATTCAAATGAGGTGGTTTTTTTTTTTTTTTTTACCCTCACCCAAGGACATTTTTCCATTTTTTGTTCAGATAGAGTGGGAAGGAGAGAGAGAGAAACATCGCTGTGAAAGGGACACATCGAGTGGCTACCACCCGCACGACCAACCAGGGCCGGGGACAAACTGCAACCGAGGTACGTGCCCATAGCGGGAACCGAACCCGGGTCTCTCTGGACCACAGGCCGACGCTCTAACCGCTGAGCCAAACTGGCCAGGGCTCAAATGAGGTTTTAATTCAAACAGCCATGTTTTCTAATTGGAGTACAAGTACCTAATCCTATCCCTGCCCCAGTGAAATCAAGCAGCTCACAAACACCTCTCACATCCACGATCTGTCCTCTGTGCACCCTCAGGAAAGGGAGGAGGGCACCTCAGCGAGTGACAGGGCGAGAAACCAGAGAGACATCAGCACATGGAGCTCATGCTCTGCACATGGAGTGCACACAGGGCACACGCTCTGCACACAGGGCACACACGGAGCGCATGCCCTGCATGCAGAGCACACACTCTACACACAGAGCACAGATGGAGCACATGCTCTGCACACGGAGCACACACAGAGCACATGCTCTGCACACAGAGCACACACGGAGCACATGCTCTGCACGCAGAGCACACACTCTACACACAGAGCACAGATGGAGCACATGCTCTGCACACGGAGCACATACTCTGCACATGGAGCACACACTGAGAACACACTGCACGCAGAGCACACATGAAGCACACACAGTGCACATGGAGCGCATGCTCTGCACACGGAGCACATACTCTGCACACAGAGTGCACACGGAGCACACGCAGAGCACACACTCTGCACACAGAGCGCACATGGAGCACACACTCTGCACACAGAGCACACATGGAGCACACGCTCTACACACAGAGTACATGCTCTGCACACACAGCACATGCTCTGCACACAGAGCACACATGGAACACACGCTCTGCATATGGAGCACACACAGAGCACATGCTCTGCACACAGGGCACACGCTCTGCACACAGGGCACACACGGAGCACATGCTCTGCATGCAGAGCACACACTCTACACACAGAGCACAGATGGAGCACACACTGAGAACACACTGCACACAGAGCACACATGAAGCGCACACAGTGCACATGGAGTGCATGCTCTGCACACGGAGCACATACTCTGCACACAGAGTGCACACAGAGCACACGCAGAGCACACGCTCTGTACACAGAGCGCACATGGAGCACACACTCTGCTCACAGAGCGCACACTCTGCACACACTCTGCACACAGATGCTTCCCTATGCTTTAACCAAACACCACGTTTAGGAAATACTAGAATTATACAGGCTATCTATGTGGTAAGCATGGTATTGCCACAGATGGTTCTAACTCTGCATCTACCATCAGTCAGGGGTAATTGTGTGTCTTCTAGGGGGTCTTGACCAAATCGGTCTCCTCTGACTAGAAGGAGTCGCCCTCGGGTGCTCTGGGGCATACACGGGTCTTTTAATCAACCTTAAGGTCTTCCTGAACAGGCGCTAACTAAACACTGTGATTTAAGTGCCGAGATGAGCGAGATCCCGCTCCAGGGAAATCGATGTTTCGAGAGTTTCTAGGGCAACAGTTCATCTCTCCCAGCAGCAAGTCTGAGAGAACAGGGGATGGGAATATTGAAGGCCTTTTAAATTAAAACACATATTTGAGGATTAAGGGTGATGGAGAGATGCAATCAAACACTCCACCGATAGCAAGAGCACACTGTGTGAGAATCGGCAGATCCCTCTGCCCAGCCGACCTCGAGAGAGTCCACTGGACTGCACCGTGCTGTCTGGGTATTTCCGGTTTGCGTTGCTTTGGCTGGTTACTTTCTGTGGTTTTCCAGTGCAGTTTAACTGGGGACCCACCTGGAGGTTTGACTTCAGGAGAACCCGAAGTAACCGTGGGCCCTAAGAGCCACAGGCTGCAAACTATTTCAGCAAATGAGAGGGCAGCGCGCAGCCACATCCGTGACTTCTTCCCACTTCCTGTGGCTCCACTATTCTCCTGAGAATTGCTGTTCCTCTCTGCTTTTAATCCCTGTTGTTGGTTACTCTGGGAAACAGACTCTTCTTTCGCAAAATACTCTCGGTTGTAATTATCGTTGTTGTTTTTCTTTTAATATCTGCAAAGGCTTCGATCAGGACCTACACGTCTCTTAGCAAGGACAGGGACATTTTTATAGCTTTCCTCTGACTCACGGTGAGCGGTGAGCGGGGGTTGGGAACTGGCAGGCAGGAGCTGTCGGGGTGACATGCACCTGACGGGGGGGGGGGGCTTTGTATCTGTAGGAGTCCTGTCCACAGTGCAGAAGGAGTCAGAGAGACCATGCTGTTATCAACTGACACAATATTTTCCTAATTGACGGTACTCCAGAGAGCAGCGGAAACTCAAACAGCTTCACAGGATAACGAGGGAAGCTGTGTAAGGGATCTGGGAAGGAAATGCACGTGGGACGAAATCACACAATCACAGCACCTGGCAGCCACCAGGCGGGCATCCCCCGGCTGGGTGGGCGGTGTGTTTACTGTTTGCTCTGGTGGAGAAAAGTCAGAATGTGCAGAGGGTGCGCTTCTAGGCACCCCAGATACTCAGTCCAAGGAAAGAAGAGACGCTCACGGACCGCGTAACACTTGTCCTTGTGGCCTCGAGGAGAGGAACGTCCCCGGAAGCTTGTATCTGGCCGAAAACCCAGGTTCGGAGGTTGGGGGTGGGGAGAGGACTCACTGTTTACTGTGTCTGCTCACCCCACCGTCTTTCTTTTTAAACACGTTCCTGTCGCCCTGGCCGGTTTGGCTCAGCAGTTAGAGCGTCAGCCCGAGGACCAAAGAGTTGCAGGTTGGGTTCCGGTCAAGGGCACGGACCTCGGTCGTGGTTCTGTCCCTGGCTCTGGTTGGGGTTGCGTGTGAGGCACCCAGTTGATGAGTCTCTTTCACATCCATGTTTCTCTCTCTCTGTCTCCCTCCCATTCTGTCTGAAAATAAATGGGGAAAAAAATATCCTCTGGTGAGGATTAAAAATTAAAAAGTTCATGTTGTACCATGTCTCCTTCAGCATCCACCAAGAAATAAAAGCTTTTTTTTCCTCCCTCCCTCCCTCCCTCCTTTCCTTCCTCCTTCTCTTCTTCTTCTTCTTTCTTCTCCTTCTAACCAAAGTAGCTACAGATAAGGAGGTGCTCTATTTTTTTTTAATAGGGTAATTTTAAAAAGCATCCCCCAAAGAATCAGAGTTTAATCTCAATATTCATGGAAACGAAAGCATAAGTGAATGGAAATTTCCAAACAGTGCATTGTGTGCCCGGCTGGCCGCTGTAAGCGGTATCTGTTTGTTTTCCTTCTCGACACATGTACCATTTTAACACCTGCTCACTACTGACAGCTGTCCACGCTTCCCGCTCACACAGCCGACGCAGAAGGCCGGGAAGAACTGGGGAATGATTCCTTCTAGGTGGGAGAAAGGGTCACCGCGGTGTGATTGACGCCCTCTGCCTGCCCTGGGGCCGCGGGGAACGGAGCCTTCCCAGCACTTCACAAAACGAAACTTGAAAAGCAGATGCGTGCAAACCTGCTTTCCCATCCAAGCATCTTGTGAAGCACAGGAAAGAGAAGCGTTGTTTTTTCGAGTTTGCTCTGACCTCGTCCTTCTTAGAAAACTGTCCCCTCTGCACTACTGGAGTACTGTCCTCGGCCTCCCCGAGCCAGCGGTAGCAGAGCGAGGCGCTGGGCGGATGGAGAGAAGGAACACTCTTTTTTTTAAAACAATAAGACTTGGTAAAGGTTACTGGTCGTGTGTTCCTCGGTAATCCGTGCCTCGGCCACACCGCTGTGGAAGCCCACACGGGCCGTGTGAGGGCCCATCTTAGCAGCTAACGGAACAGTATCCCCAGGGGGATGGATTTAGACACCAGGCCTTCTGGATCCCGGGCCTGAGCCACGTGCTGAAACAATGAAGGAAGCTCAGAAGCTTGTACCTGTAGCTTTCAATTCTGGCAGATTAAACAAACAGCGAAGTCTCTTTTCCCTACATTTTTAACATTTTCAAGTAGGGTGTGATTATTCAGAGGTTGTTTTTTCAAAAAAAAATTCCCCGGACTCGGGCGTAGAATTGGCACTGTCCCTGTGATGTTTTCGTGTAAAGGGCGGCACTGGAGTCCGGCCGGGGTGGCTCAGCAGTTGAGCGTGGACCCAGGTACCAGGAGGTCGCCGGTTCGATTCCCGGTCAGAGCACTTGGCCAGGTTGTGGGCCCGATCCCCGGTGGGGGGCGTGCAGGAGGCGGCCCATCCATGTTCTCTCTCCTCGATGTTTCTGTCTCTCTCTCCCTCTCCCTTCCTTTCTCTCTAAAATCAAGAAAGAAAAAATTTTTTAAATAAATAAGTAAGAACGGTGTTGGAAGGGAAAGCAGAATGGTCTCGGCTCCCAGCACGCCGTCCAGCTGCAGCGCGGTCAGAGGGCGCGGTTCCGGTGACGGGACGGGTGGAGAGGATCCGGATGGAGGGGATGGAGCTGAGGGGACAGAGACTGGACAGCAGGCAAGAGGGCAGGGCTGACGGTGTTCCCCCAGCACGCCACGAGTCATGCTAACGTCAAGTCCTAGGGAGCTCTTCACCCCGTCTTTAGACTTTTCCGATACCTTTGATCCAAGATCCTGGTAGAGCAATACAGTGCCGCTGTCCCACGCTGAGCCCTGTCATTGGGGTGGGCAGAAGTAGGTTTACAAAATACGAACGAACAGCAACACACTAATTAATACACACAGAATCATACAAGAATAAATTCTGTCCCACACGCCCACCCGTGTGTTTTCCCTCCTTTTTTACGGGTATTTGGAGGATCACAAGACAGAGTGTTTGAGGTTCCGTGTCCACAACCGGCAACTATTTTGACAACCTCTGGGATCCAGGGATTGTTTTACGGTCTGTACAAATTCAGCCTTAGCCGGTGTGCTGTCTCTGACTCCTCCGCCTCGTAGGGGCCAACTGTTAAACTTTTAGGAGGTTTCTCAGCCAATTGGCATCCCATTGGTAGTTTGAAATGGCCATGTAAGAGTATTTACACCGTGTTAATTGTCAAATTGCTATGAATCATGACTCCCCTCACCCCACACTAGAGCCAACGAATAAACAGTTACCAGCACACCACGGGTAGAGCTATTTTTCGACTTTTTCATAAAATGCCAAGGAAAATAAAATATATTATGTAGTTCAGCTTTGACCAAAAAATATAAAAAAGACCTTTAAAACATTTTATGTTTATTTTTGAGAATCAATAATGTAAGAATCTCAGGAATGGGAACTATTAAATTTATAGACTACAGGCCTATTTTGGGGAGTCTTCCAGAGTGGAGGCAGCAGCTCACCCCTTTTCGGCCGGTTTCCTGAGCGTCTTCACCCCGTCTTTAGACTTTTCCGATCCCTTTGATCTAAGATCCTGGTAGAGCAATACAGTGCCGCTGTCCCACGCTGAGCCCTATCATTGGGGTGGGCAGAAGTAGGCTCACATTAGATTGAGCTTAGCCGTAAATAATTCTACTTATTTTGAAGTTGGAAATTCCGTCCTTCAGAGACATGTATCCCCTCTATTCGGACACTGAGCTAGTGACCTTCCAGGCACCCAGTCCCCTCTGCTGCTCATCTGCTTTGAGGATTTAGCTCTAATGATTCACTAATGTGATATCCTGAGAATATGTTTATCTTACAAGTAACTTCATATGTGGGGGGGAAATGTGTACATGATTAGTCATTTAACATTATTGTGTTGAAGGCAATAGTCAAGGCCCAGCTGATGTGACTCAGCGGTTGAGTGTGGACTCATGCACCAAGAGGTCGCCGGTTTGATTCCCGGTCAGGGCACATGCCCAGGTTGTGGGCCCGATCCCCAGTGGGGGGCGTGCAGGAGGCGGCCAATCGATGTTCTCTCTCATCGATGTTTCTCTCTCTCTCTCCCTCTTCCTTCCTCTCTCTCTAAAATCAATAAAAAAAATTTTTTTTAAATAGTCAAAAGAATAGAAATTAGAGTAAATATAAAATTAAAACCCACTGGGGAGGAGGCAGCTTCCCAGGCCCAACATTGCTTGGTGACAGCTATGGCCCCAGGACTTCCCGGATGAAACCACTGCAGGGTGAGCCCTGAAGAGACACCACACCGCAGTGCTGAGACGTGAGCTCCCACGCATTCCCACAGACAGTACTTGCTGACACACGCACCGAGTCACGTTTTCTCCAACTAAGTGCTCACAGCAGAGAGAGGTCGCTCCGTGCACCTTGACCTCGGGTTCACCCCTGGGCAGGGCCCCCCACACACCGCCAGCGCAGGGTCTTCTCTGACTCGGTGCACCCGCCCCGTCGCTGCGCGTACACACTCTGCCCGTGGGCACGCTCCGTCTCCGCCAGGCTGCGAGGGTGGCCCTGGGCTGAACACAGACGGTTCGGTTCGGTGAGAGCCCACATCTCTGCTTCCCCGGGTCTGGCTCGCGCAGGACGCTCAGGAAACGGGGCGCAAAGGGGTGAGCTGCCGCCTCCACTCTGGAAGACTCCCCAAAATCACCCAAGCGAAGCTTCCTCCGGGCCAGCTGCCGACTGCAGCCCACTTCACCCCTGCCTAGAAGAGGAGCAATTAGGGACACCGACGGCTCCTCCCAAGCACGCGTGACGGCGCGGTGTTCTCGGTCTGCGTCCTGCTTGCGCGTGGGGCCCCTTCAGCTGGTTAAGCAACGCCGACCTGAAACATGGTTCACTCCCAACAGCTGGAAAATCGATCACTGTTTTCCTGCCGCTTGTTCCAGGTTCCAGGGGATGCTTCCAGGTCCCCAGAGTTCTGCTCCGAGAGCTGACTCGTCCTGTGGTCTTCAGCCCTGGGAAGCAGCAGCCCGTGGGCAGTGTTGGCTGCTGGCTCGACAGCGGCTTTGAACCGGTCATCTGTGCCCAGACCAACCGCGTCAGCAGGTCGGCCCACGGCCCAGCCCTCGGCGCGGGGCACGGGGCTCCGCACCGGGCACGGGGCTCCTCACCGGGCACGGGTCTCCTCACCGGGCACGGGGCTCCTCACCGGGCACGGGGCTCCTCACCGGGCACGGGGCTCCGCACAGCGCCTGAGGACAGTTGTCCGAGTGGGGCCCCGCAGGGCCTCCAGATCGGGGCGCTCTCACCTCTTCCCCGACTCGCTCATCACCACGATTTACAATTTTTCCTCTGATATTAAAAGATAAATCAAGTATCTTTGCAAATTGGAGACATTATAACACTATTTATTTTCTTTAATTCATAAAATCCCACGTCAATGCCTTCAACTCTGAAGTTATAAGAAGCACACGGCTTTTCTTGGAGCACACGGGACCCAGGCCCTGTGCTTGCCCTGCGCCAGGGATGCTCCAGCGGATCCGGGTGCGAGCCTTTGAGCTCCATTAGGACAGGATGGGAGCCAGCTGGGTGGATCAGCTGTGCCCACTTTTCATCACCGGGAGGCAGTGGCCACGTGTCGGCTACCACTGGTAAGTTCTCTCTGCAGCCAACAGCAGCTGCCCAGAGGAGGGCTGACGTGCAAGGGTGCCCGTCTGTGTGCCACTGATTCTGAATAATCTGGGGCCATGTATGATGGCGCTGAAACCTCTGAGTGTCCAGGCGGTCTAGTCCAGCTTGAATCCTAATCAGTGGTTCTCCAAGTGGACCAAGCAAAACCAACCCTCTCTGCCCGCTTCCCAGGGGTCTGAGAACTGATGGTACAGGAAGGGCTCTAACTGTAGCCTCTAGCTCTAGCTCTAGTTCTAGTTCTAGTTCTAGGCCCTAGGTTCTAGGTCAATTTTTAGCTCTGGCTTAGCTCTAATTTTAGTTCCAGTTCTAGGACCTAGGTTCTAGGTCAATTTTTAGCTCTGGCTTAGCTCTAATTTTAGTTCCAGTTCTAGGACCTAGGTTCTAGGTCAATTTTTAGCTCTGGCTTAGCTCTAATTCTAGTCTAGGCCCTAGGTTCTAGGTCTGTCTCTAGCCTCTAGCTCTAGCTCTAGGCTCTATGTTCTAGGTCAACCTCTAGCTTAGCTCTAATTCTAGTTCTAGGCTCTAGTTTCTAGGTTCTAGGTCTGTCTCTAGCTCTAGTTCTAGTTCCAGGCTCCAGGTCCAATTCTCATCTTAAGACCTATTTTTAAACTGCTAGGAAACTTTGAGTACACTGTGTATCTGTAGGGACCACAGATCATTACAACCATTCTCTAAATGTGTATGATGCTTCACTATGAAAAGCCACCACAGGTCCCAGTGAGCCGCCTGATTCTAGGTCGGTTCCCTGTTAGGTTCCAGGAACTTTGTTACGCAGAAGGAGAAGCCCCTCACAGTCTGCCTTACCCTTTGAAGGAGCACGTTAGTTCTGGGTGTCCTCACAGACCTACCTACAGCAAGTCCAGCAGAGCATCACATGATGCAAAGCCTTCTTCACGTTGCAGGGACCGTTTGGATGCTGAGAATAACACTGGGTTTTCTTCTGTCTTTTGTCTTCTGCATCTTAAGACTAATCTAAAAATCTGTCTGTGCTCTTAGTCAATGCCAGGAAGTCTGCTCTGTCCGCAATTTGCATCACCAATCATCCGTAATATTTTTCTTCGGATGTGCTTTTGAACGAAACAGAGATGAACGGTTCTTCCTGTTTTCCATTCTCCTTCTCCATCTCCCTGCCCTTTGGGCTGCTGTTGTGCAGAGCACTTCAGTTTATCAGAGAACGCCCCCTCAGAAGTCATGGAGCACAGGAATTTAAACTCCCTAATTGCTACGTTCATTTCGGATTTTACAACACCGAGTTCTAATTTAGTGCTCAACATCCTATATTAACATTCCAAGAATGATTCTATCTCGCACTGATGCAAAGTATCAAGTCGAAAGACGGTCACAAGCAGTAATAACATGTACACACATTGGGGTCTGTTTTCTGTCCAGGTGCCCGGGAGAGACGAGGGAAGGCATGTTTGCCATTTCCCTGTACCTCCGGTGTCCGCTGTGCAGGGTATAACCGGCTCAGTGGGTTATACATTCTTTTCATTACTCACTAGACTTTTATTTAATGAGCTGTAATGTGTGTATGACTGTGTCAGCTTATGTCTCACTTTCCCCAAATTTATGGTATTACACTTGTAAGTTACAGGCTAAACGGGGAGGAAAGATTCACCGACCTTGCTCGCTCTTGCTTTTGCCGGACGGCCGGGGGCTGTGCCCCGGGCCTGGCCGAGTCCACACAGGCAGGCCGAATGTCACCGAAGGTGAGCAGGAGTCACGGTGCACGGTCTGCCGCGGCGCCGGATGCGTGCACAAATAACTCACCATAACAGAAACTCACTTAAGGGAAATGCAGATCATGTTCATAAATCTTCCTCTGGTAATTGATACCTTCTGATAAAACGCCAAACATATCCTGCTGGACAGTCACGATGGTTTTGGCAGCTTGGCTTATGAGGGCCATAGTCACAAGGAGACATTTGGGGGGTTCCCTCGGTCCTCTCCAAAGGCAACCTGGGAACCTTGAGTAATGCCTCGCTTTCAAATTAACGGGAAATGTTATTATAGTAACTCGGTAACCGATTAAAACTATTGTTAAGAAATAATAGATTTTTTTCCCCAAAGGACCCGGCTTTAGTTGAGTAAGCTGAGCTGCAGAAGTATGGCTGTACCTACAGAAACAACTGGGTGAATTTAACCCCGAGGAATTTCAACTTAATAATAGATGAGATTGCATCGAAGTGTGGTGGCAGTTAGACGTGACCAGAGTGAGGACGACGGGCCAGGGACAGGTCACCGGGGTGGGACGCCCCAGTGCCTAGCAAGCGGCAAAGCTGGGAAGACAAGAACCTCACCCCCAAGGTAACCTTTCCCCACCCTGGATGTTGCTGGTCATGCAGGTAAGACTCCTGACCTTTCATATCACCGGTCATGTGGTTCAGACCCTTCCCTCAACTTTTCTCCCGACAGGTTGCTAGTCATGCAGGTGAGACCCCCTTAAAGATGTAATGAACAAGGGGGCCAGGGAATAGCCCTTAAGCATGAAGCCCCCCAGGACAATGAGGTTTTGACCTGTATCACATACACTGGGCCTCAGTTCTGTGTTTCAGCTCCAGGCGCAGAAAAGGTGCAAAACCAGACAAAACCATGGCTGACCTCAGGACCAGCTGCATGGACTAATGACCCCCTGCTCTGGCGCCGACCAATCAGGGGAGACCTGACCCTGAAAGGCCACACCTGGAGAGCTGATGCATCTTCTATCAGGATCCTCCCAGACCTCCAGCAGATACACACAGGACAGGACCCCGCAGGGCTCCCTGTGGAGCGGGCCGCTGCCTTTCTGCCCCTCCCCCAGGCGTGTTTTCCTCGCCTGTCTCTCTCCTACCTCCAAGGGCCCTTCGTCAGCTCTGCGGCTTGTTCTCCAAGACCACGTCTTCCCCAGCTCACCACCTCTGTGACTTCTAAAGAAACTTTCTCTTACGGTTCGAGTCTTCT